ATATGGGTCACACCATGTAGGACAAATCCCATTTGGTTCTCATCTTACACTCATTTTGCTTTGTCTTCATAGGAGTTCAAAGAAGGGCGCAGAGCCAGCCACACAGCCCCCCAGGTTCTCTTCAGCCACAGGGAGCCTCCTCTTGAGCTAAAAGACACAGATGCCGCTGTGGGTGACAACATTGGCTACATCACCTTTGGTGAGTGGGGTGCAGTTGTCCCTCCTGAGGCCTTATTGAGTTCATGTGGCACAATGCCACGATTTGAACAGGGCCTTGTCCACATTATAAGGCTAATGAAAATGGGCAAGCCAACTTATGTTGCCACTCCTGGTAGCCGTGGGAAGGTGTCACATGCTGCTGATTATAGAGAAAGTCAGGTGTTATTTTTGTACAGTAATGATTCTTTTCTCTTTCTGTTCTTGAATCTCAAGGAAAAAAGGGTAACTTCTGATGATGAGATTTTAGAGATAGGACCGTTTCGGCAATGCTAAGCATCTTGATGGAGTTCTGTGTCATTTGACGTTTCTTGTTTTTTTGCTTCTAAGTCTGAGCATGATTCACTTACTCTTCTGCAGAAGCAACTCAAATCCTCCCCTCCATTTGCTTCAGCTTCATGAGCTGGCTGATCATAACCACTGACAGCTCATTCATACCCTGCACCTGCTGTATGTGAAATGCATCATTTTGTGAAGTTTTATTTACCTTTGAGCAGAAGGTACAACTACTTAGCAGTATTGCATGAGTTGACTTGTTTTATTAAGTCTAAGCTATATCACTTTCCCTTTCCATTATTATTCTTGAACTTGAGTTGCATTTTATAATTTATGGCATGTCAGTTTAACGGGAAGCATTTTTCTCCTGTAACACATAAAATCATGGTACACTTAGTCATATGCACTGTAGTTCTTAGAAATTCCCCTAACTTCTGTCATGATATTTGCTTACTCTCTCGCCCTTCATTGTGGGCATTCCTTTTCCTTATGACAAAACTTCAGAGAGCTTAGTGGTCTTGCTGAAATCAGTGATAGGGTAGGTGCAAAACAGAGAGGACCCCAAAAAGCTCAAGGAAAAAAGATGTAGGTATGACTCAGTGCCAAAAAATAGATTGGTGGCTACATGGATCTGCAGGTGGCTAGACCCCAGCCCCAAGCAAGGCAGCTCTTACCTGACCTGTCAAGTGAGCTCAGGGCTAAGCATGGTAGTGCACATGTGTAATTCCAGTACTGTGAGGCTGAGGCAGAAAGATTGTGGATTTGAGGCCAGCTACATTGCGAGTTCAAGGTCATCATGCACTACATGGTTAAGGCCCTGTCTCCAAAAGAAGAAAAAGGTTCAGATCCTGGTTTTTTTTTTGTTGTTGTTGTTTTGTTTTTTTGGCGGAACTGGGGATTGAACTCAGGCCCTTGCACTTGCCAGGAAAGCGCTTATACTACTGAGCCATCTCCCCAGCCCCTGGTTCAGATCCTTATGCCCTGCTGTTTGGTCTTCACAGCAAGAGTATAGAATATCCTCTGGAATCTAGTTTCTCCAAAAGTTTATTATGCTTCAGTCTCAAGGCCCCCAGGTGGCAGCTTGTTTCCTAAGCCTAGCTTCTCTTTTAAATTTTTTTTAATTAATTAATTTATTTATTTATTTATTCATTTTGTATGTGTGTGGCCAGTTCAGCCCACCAGGGGGCGGGGCTGTCTAACATGTGGTGCTGGGGATTGAACTGAGGTCCCTGTGCTTTTTGCTTAACTTAGCTTGTTCTAAGTAGGTGCTTTAGACCACTAAACCATCTCACCAGCCCATAATAGTAACTTTTTTTTTTTTTTTTTTTTTTTTTGGCAGAACCAGGGATTGAACTCAGATCCCACGTTTGCCAGTCAAGCACTTATCCTACTGAGCCATCTCCCCGGCCCCTCTTTTAATTTTTTGAGACCGGGTTTCATTGTATCATCCAGGCTGATCTTGAACTATGTAATCCACACTGGCCTCAAACTCAAAGCAATCTTTCCTCAAACTCACACATGCAGGGATTATAGGAATATTTCACCACACACAGCTCTAAGTCTAATTTCTTTCCTGGACAGCCAGTTCTTGTTACTCTGTGGTCCACTGAGGTGCAGGGGCAGGAGCTAGCAAGTGTATAGCAGACAAAAAATAGATTTCAGCTTGCAAGCCACAGAATCCTGACCTAAAATGAAGACCCAGAATCATGCCTTACTTTTAGGTCATAAACATCTCTGTACTGTTGGTAACACCCCTAGCTGTACTATTACAAAGCGTGGGTTTACTGAATCAGAAATGGTAGTGCACTGCAGGCTGCTGTTTTTCCACCCTTGGACATTAGTGCTACACCCTGATTCCTTGCTTGTTCCCCCACCTCAGTACTGTTCCCCCGCCACACCAATGCCAGTGCCCGAGACAACACCATCAACCTGATCCACACGTTCCGGGACTACCTGCACTACCACATCAAGTGCTCCAAGGTAAGGGGTATCACATCTCAGTCCCTGGTGTTAATAGGACCCTTAAGAACTCTCTAAGGTAGATAATTCCAGAGGCTTTGGGAAATCTCTCTGACCAGGGTGTAGCTCAGAGTAGTTTTCCTAGCATGCAGGGGCCCTGAGTTTGATCCCTAGCACCCCAAATAGAAAAAGCATCTCTCTCCCGCAGCAGAGGTGAGTATATGTCCAGAGTTGCCCCACTGCATGCTTCCCTGCCTGGCCTGGGTCCACCCTTGGGTTTATTCTAAACTGTCCCAATGACTTCTAGTGAAAGCAAAGCTGTCTTTCTACTCTGCTTCAGTACTTACTGTATTTGCTCCCAGGCCTATATCCACACACGTATGCGGGCAAAAACATCTGACTTCCTCAAGGTGCTGAACCGTGCACGCCCAGATGCCGAGAAAAAAGAAATGAAAACAATCACGTAAGTAGATAAGGACCACCACCCTGTCCTGAGCCCAATGAGAAGAATGTAGAGGGGGCTGCCGGTGACACTGCAGGTGTCTGGGGAGTGCTGCACCTGAGGCCAGCGGGGCTGAGCCCAGAGCTACCAGAGTGCACATGGGATTAACGGGGTCTAGATTCTCAGTGGATCCAGGGGGCTTTCTTTGTTTCCACATCTTTGTGAGTATGAAAATGACAGGTAATAAAAAAACAATGAGACTTTTGTAGAAACTGCTCTTCAGGCTTGAGTTGGTCAGTCCTGTCCTGCTGGTATTCTTGAAGGAATGGAATAAGTTGCTTAAGGACATAGAGCTGTGTAGAGACCTGGAACCACTTCTAAGTGTTCTTCTCCCGGTCCACTTCTCAGCAGGAAGATGGTATAAAGAGGGAGGCTGCATTTATCATGATGGAAATCCTGAGCAGAGCTGTAAACAGCATGACTTTGTGGGCAGGAGAGACCAGCACAGTGTAGGGCCTACGCAGTTCAGTCTTTGGGACAGGTGCCAGATCTTGGTTCCTTTCGTGGTGACATTTGGGCAAGTCTTGTTCTTAAGATCAAGTAGTCAGTACTTATTTTGCTGTCTTAGTGCCACTTAAGTCTTGGAGTAAACCAAGCACCTTTCAATCCTCCCAGTCGTTGCATTGCTAACACCTTTACTCAGGAGAGCCTTTGGTGAATGGGTGTGGTGACTTCTGGCTTGTGACCTTCTGTCACCTATAGTTTCTGTTGCCATCAAAAGGATGAGAGAGGTGTCTAGGTGAATGCTGCAGGTTTTCAGCCACAGGAATGTCGCACATTAACACGTAATACCCCTGACTTTAAGCAGAGGTGCTGCCAAACAGAACCCAAAAATAGTGATTCAGCCTTACCTAAATCCTCTGCTTGGAGAGATGTCCAAATGCCATGTGATAGGGCAGCATCATTTCTACTCCACAGCTACTTTGGGAGCAGTTCAGGGGAAGCTGGGGTAAACAAAGTACTGGTAGCTGCAGCCAAAGAGAAACTTTTTTTTTTTTGCGGAACCGGGGATTGAACTCAGGCCCTCGCACTTGCCACAGAAGCACTTATTCCACTGAGCCATCTCCCCGGCCCCAAAGAGAAAGAGTCGGGACGGGGGCGCGAACCAGCGACCTCGCGCTCCGCGGCCCGGCGCCCAGACCACCGCGCCAGGTCGCCGCCTGAGAAACTTGACTTCAGTCTGTCAGAGCCAATAAGCCGGGCATAGTGGCATGCACTTGTTATCTTAGCAACTTAGTGGGCAAACAAGGGAGGATTGCTTGAACTTAGGAGTTCAAGGCCAGCCTGGGCAACATAGAGCCCAGCTCACAAAAAAACATAGATGTGGAGGAGACACTAAAAAAAAAAAAAAAATACAGAAAACAGGCAAGCCAGGTGTGGTGCATACACCTGTTACCCCAGCATTGGGAAGCCTGAGGCAGGAGGATCGCCCCAAGTTCAAGGCCAGGTTAGACTCCATAGTGAGTTCCAAGACAAGCCTGAATTACACAGTAAGACCCTGTCTTAGAAAGGAGGAAGAGAAGGAAGGAAAGACAGACATTCAGAGAAGCTGAGCATTGAAGTAGTCAGGGGCCTGGTGTGGTGGCACACACCTATAATCTCAGCACTTGGCAGGCTAAGGCAGGAAGATAGTTAAAGAGTTGAAGACCAGCCTGGGTTACAAAGTGAGCTCCACACCAGCCTGAAGTGCGTAGCATGACCCTGTCTCAAAAAAGAATGAAGTAATTCCTGGGTTCCCTGCACCACTCTTGCCCCCCTGTACTGCTTGTCTGCTCGGCAGTGGGGCCCACCAGGCCACTGCCGCCCCATTCCAAGGCCAGCAGGTACTCTTGGCAGGGAGGTGAGATGTCTGCATTGTTCCAAAGATGCATATTGGGTCTTAGAAGGAGCAGCTTTGCCTTTTGTTCTCTGACATCTTCAGCAGCGTTGGGCCCCACAAAGGAAAAGAGGGAGGCAAACAACTACATCCACCATGAAACCCTGATTGTGCTACGGCTGATGGATTCAGTGGCTGGGCCACAGCAGGAGCCCCTGTTCCCCACACAGCAGAGCAAGAGTCTGTGGAAGTGGGCAGCTGAAGGAAAGCGACAGCATCCCTCATACTCTGCTGCTCATCTGGGCACACAGTAACAAAATGAATGTGCTTTCCTTTGGGAGTAGGCAAGATGGCCGTGTCAGGAACAATTCAGAGACCTTGGTTTTGCTCTGCTTTCCTTCCTGTAGTCCTCAGGTCTCAAGTGTGCATTGCTTTATCACATTCTTAGCTGCCAGTGACAGACTGTCTTTTGGAGTAACTGTCCTGGGGAAATGTGTGGCCAGGATGCCACAGTTTAGGAGCCTAGCATTTGGCCAGGATGTAATCACCATGCATAACAGAAATAAATGTCTTTAACCTGGGAACTCTTAAAAACTGCTTTGAACCTCTTGCCCCTTTGTTTACGGTACCGTTAAGAACTTGCTCCATGGGAGCCCTGAGAGAAATCAGCTGGGTAGGAAGAGCCTGAACTGTCCGAGGATTGAGTAGTGCTGGTAGATGGTTGTGCTCAGTCTGAAATTCCAGGTCCATTTGAGCTGCCCAGGTGTTGAACAAGGATCCTGCCACCTCCGTGGCTTATTAATGTCCTCATGTGCTTGACTGATAGCCCAAAGTGTTCTGTGGGGAGGAAAGTGGTGAGAGATCTTGGCCATGTCCTGTGGTTTCCATCCTCTTGCCTAGTGAAGTTTGCTGTCTCTTCACAGATTGCATGGTTGCAAACAGAAGGCCAAAAACTAACATTCACTTTTTCTGCTCTTGAAGGGGGAAGACGTTTTCATCCCGCTAACTCTTGGGAATGGGGGAAGAAGTGCTGGCGACTGAAGGCTGGACCGCTTGCTGCCAGATAATCGTGGCCCTTCATGTTGCACCTCTCCAGGTTCTAAGGGATTCTCCATTTGGGTTCCATTTTGTACGCATTTGGAAAATAATCTGCAGAAACGAGCTGTGCTTGCAAGGACTTCATAGTTCCCAAGAATTAAAAAAAAGGAATTCCACTTGATCAACTTAATTCCTTTTCTTTTACAGTCCCTCCCTCACACCCCTTCCCTCACACCCTCTTTTCCAAGCTATTTTGCTTTGCAATATGTTACTGGTAATGAGTTGCAGGATAATGCAGTCTTAACTTGTTTTCTCCTAAGTATTTGAGTTCAGAACTCCTGTATCTAAAGAAATACGGTTGGGGTCATTAATAAAGAAAATCTTTCTATCTTAAATGAGAATTTGCTGGGTGTCTGGATTGAGTCCAAATGAGAGAAGGAAATAAGGGTAGACCTACACTGCCTTGGGCCCCCCAGACCCAAGCTGAAAACCCGTTAGTGTGGATCCTGGCTCCCTTGGCAGAGAGGACCTGCTCACCAGTGAGCTGTGAATGTGGATGTACTTCCTGTATCCTGAGAGCCTTGGTCTCTGAGACAGCCTCGCTGTCTGAGTGGTGAAGAAATTCCTGATGGTGATGGGCAGATGAAAATGTTTTCTGGGTTTCCAGTGTCACTCTTGATGCAGCCTTTCCCGAAGTGTGTTCTACAATGTGTTTGGTTCTCCAAAACATTTGTGAGTATTCAGGTTTGGATCTAATGCAGACTAACTGGCCACAGTTCTTTCTTCATGTAGCTCCCAAAAGATTGACCATCTGCAAAGCTGCCCTTGGAGGTGCCTGCCTCACAAATAGTACACTTGTCTCCCAGCACGACACAATGCCTAAACTGAAATGTATTATAAAAACTTATTTTTTTTTTTCTTCTTTTTTTTGTTGGGGGGAAGGGCCTACAGGGTGATCAGGGTCTCACTACTAGATCAGACTTGTAGTGATCCACCTGTTTATAGTCTCCCAAGAGCTGGGATTACAGGTGCGCCCCCCCCCATACCCAGTTTCAATTGCCATCTCAGCACTTCCCAGGGGCGGAGCCAGCACACCAGGCCCCAGGATCAAACCCCTGACAGCTGACAGGCATGGCCTAATAATTTCCGCCTTTCTGCTTCACTTCCCCCCCCCCCATTCTGGGCAGGTATTTTGTTTTGTTTTTTTAATGGATTTGGTACAGGGTCTCACTATGCAGCATGGACTTACAGTGATCCTACTGTTTTCAGCCTCTCCAGTGCTGGGATTACAGGCCTGCGCCACCATGGCCAGTTTTGATGGCTGGCTCAGGGATGGGGCCAGTGCAGCATGTGGTGCTGAGGATGGAACCTCAAGTCCCTGCACTTGCCTAAGTAGGTGCTTAGTCTGCCAAGCTGTCTCAACAGCCTGGGCAAGGTAACTTTTATTTCCTAATTTGTTTCTTTTGAGATAAAAAGTTTGTGATATAGATTCACATGTAGTTGTCAGAATAATTGAAAATCCCTTGTATTTATAGTTCACGTAATATCCCCAGTGCCACCTTAATTATAGGGTCACAACCAGAAAGGTGACATTGGTATGGGTTGCCCACCCTTATCACATGTCACCAGTTTTATATAATTTTGTCTCACATATTTCTATGCATTTTTTTCCACCTGTGCAACTTTGCCTGATAACCAGGGGTGAAGCTGCATGGTAGAGCACTGAGGGAGCGAGAGCGGGACCCTGAGTTCAGTCCAGCTTTGTGGGCTGAGTCAGTCCCACCTTTTTGTGTTGATTTGGGAGTGTGTTTCAGCAACATAAACCAGCATGATATCAGTGAACTTGTTTCTTTTCTTTTTTTTTTTTTTTTCCCAATGCTCTTTTTTTATTTAGATCGCCTCTTGTATTTAAAATCTACCAAAGAACCACAGCACAAGTACTAATTTAAAAAAGTGTTCATTAACATAGTTCAAAAATAATAATTTTACCTTTGAAGCTCTTAAATGTAGCCATCCATTGGCTAGTGAACTTGTTTCTGAGCCACAGTCAGGCAGGTGGACAACCAGGCTAAATATAATGAGTATATTGAGAGTGACATGTATGCTAGACCCCATGAGTTATTTAAGGAAGTTTTTAGAGTGTTTGTTTCTTCATGACAGGTTCTTGCCATGTAGTTCAGGCTGACTTTGATCTTGTTTAGCCCAGGCTGCCCTCGAACTGTGGACAGTCCTCCTGCATCAGCCTCTCAAGGGTAATTATTACTAACAGCAGTTTTTCCACTTATGTGGTCTTAGAACATTGCTCTTTGGTAATTTGGAGCGCCCTGCTCTCCTGCCAGTGGTTGGAGTCAAGAATTCAAAGTCAGGTTGTATAGAAAATAAGTTAAGGGGAAAGCAAGGGATTATTTTTACAGTGGGAAATTCTAAGCAACAATCTAATTTCAAGATGTTTTGTCAAGTCTCAGGTATAGATCATCAACCAAGGTCAGTGAGGTCACCTGTGCTACCTTTGGATCAATATTACCTAAGTGACTACACTTGCAATCTTAATGGTTAATCATAATTTTTGACCCACATTGTACCCGCCTCACAGTTTTGCTCTGTAGAGCTTCCTTTGAGAGATGGGCTCATTTGCAACCCATTTAGGACCCCTTCTGTCTCTCTGGAGCTATTCCTATCCCCCATTCCTTTTCCCAGTAGATTTTCTAACTTGGTGTGTGTGTGTGGGGAGCTTTGTGTTAAAAAACCCATGCTAAAAGTAGGTTGTGGTACACACCTGTAATCCCAGCACTTGAGAGACTGAGGCAGAAGGATCACAGGGAGTTCAAGGCTAGCTTGAACTATATAGCGAGACCTTGTATTAAAAAAAAAAAAAGCTGATGTAAACCCTTATTGAAGGGGCCAGGGAGATGACTCAGTGGAATAAGCACTTCCCTGGCAAACAAGGGCCTGAGTTTAATCCCCGGTTCTGCCAAAATAAACCCTTATTGAGGGTCATTTTCTGTTTGTTTGCTTGTTTTGAGACAGGATCTTGCTGTGTAGTTTAAGCTAGTCTTGAATTCGCTGTAAAGCCCAGGCTGGACTCACAGTGATCCTCTTGTCTCAGGTTCTGAGGGCTGAGGTTACAGGCATGTGCCACCACACCCACACTTTCTCTTAACCTGTCCTAGGCAGGCGCTTAGACCGCTGAGCTATCCATGGAACCCGTGATTGAACTCAGGCCCTTACGCTTGCCAGGGAAGCACTTATTCCAGAGCCATCTGCCCGGCCCTCTTAACCTGTCCTGTACCTTGTCTGGAGACCCTTATTCTGTCAGCACAAGTGAAGTCCCCTAGGACTGGGAGGAAGGACCTCTCATTAGGGAGCCTGACACACCAGGGGCCCATACTGGGTGAAAGTGGTCTAGTCTGGAGCTATAGGTGTGTTTATGTTGGAGCCATGCAAGTATATAGCAAGGTTTTGGGAGAAACTGCAGTTTGGTTCTAAAGAGATCTGACAAAATATCCTATTTGAGCCCCAAGTACCCTCACTTTTATTGAACCACTGACACCCCACAGGCTTTTTTTTTTTTTTTTTAAATATTTATTTATTTTTATTTATTACATTTATTTATTGTGTGTGTGTGTGGCCAGCTCAGCCCACCAGGGGGCGGGGCTGGCTGGCATGTGGTGCTGGAGGATCGAACTGAGGTCCCCGTGCTTTGCCAAGCTTGTTTCAAGTAGGTGCTTTAGACCACTGAGCCATCTCTCCAGCCCCCCCCACAGGCTTTTTATAGGAATAAAACACATCACATCTTAAGCGTCTATCATGCAAGTGCTTTACCACTGAGCTGTACACTCCAGCTTTATCATTACAACTTGTAGTGTCATTAAATAGACCTTAGTTCCCTTTAGACACTGAAGGGGCTCAGAAGTGGCTAGGCTGTCACAGGAGTGACATCCACCATAAGGCAGACCTCATTGTCTTGGGTTTTCCAGGCCTTCTCCAAGGTAGTTGGACTTTCCCTGCTTCAGTGGCCCTTATTGCAGAGGGTGGGGATGGATCCAACGCGGAGGTTGGGAATCTCTATAGCCGGGTGAAGTAGGACCTGGGCAAGCTACAAACAAGAAGCTTGACTACAAAGGAAAGATTACAACAGGAAGTGAAAGCGAGTGCAACCAGGAAAGGAAACGGCCCAGCTGCTGCATTAGGCTTCTTGGGGAAGCTGATAACGTGGCAGTTGCCTTCAATGGAGGACCTATCCTCATTGTACTCTTGACCCAACACCTGCTTCCATGTGCTCTAGCTGGGTCACCTCTGGTAGCAAATTTGTTTAGGTAGTGCTGCCCCTTTCTGGGGGTTATCAAAAACTACAATTTCTGTGGCTCCTGGAGGCAGTATCTGACCCAGACAGCCAGCCCAGATGTGGGTCGTGTTACCCTCTTTTGGGAGGCCATGCTGGAAATCAAACCTGAGGCCTCCCAGACTAGGTTAGGGCTCTTATCACTGAGTTACCACCTTTGGTCTGTCTCTTCTACCCAAACAGCTGACAGAGGGCTTGCTGAAGCCAGGATCCTGGTCTTTCTCTGGGTCATAGATCTAAGGGACTCATCCAAAGAGCCAGCAGCCAGGGAAGCCACCCAGGATTCAGGAAGTCCTGCCTCGCATTGGTGGAGAGTGTGTGATGCTCACCTACCTAATCTCAGATTTTGAGAGCCAGCAGAGACACACACATAGCCACAAAAATGGCAGTCACCAAAGGGCCAGAGTCTGGACTGGTCACCACAACACATGCTTTACATCAAGAGGGAGAGCAGGGCCAGGACACAGCCAGTGTTTGGGAATTTGTACCAGATCCCTCAGGGTGAAGGGCAAATGCAGACAGGAAGAAGGGCTACTCAGGGATAGAACCCAGGCTCCCTCACTCCCACCCACAGAGTCCTCCGCCTTGCCGTGTCATGCCAATGCCACACACAGTGTTTAGACAGCAGCAGCAAAGAAACGCAGACATCATCCCTTGGGGAGGAGGCCAGGGCTGGGAACAGAAGGCAGTCTGTTTATGCTTGGCAGTCTTATCTGAGGGGTCCTGCACCCACTTCTGTCCAGACCCCAAGCTGAACTTTCCCAGAGCCTTTTTTTTCTTCCAACTTTTATTTTGGCAGTACTTAAGACTGAACTCAGAGCTCTGTCACTGAGTTACATTACCCACAAGCCCTTTTTGGTTTTTATTTTGAACTGAGGTGTAGCCAAGTTTCCCAGACTGGCCTTGAACTTATAACCATAACCCTCCTGCCTCAGCCTCCTGGGTAGCTGGGATCACATGTGTGCCATCGTATGACCTCTGCCCAGCCAGGCTAGGTGGCCCAGGTCTGAGGGCCCAGTGCCTTTTCCCTAGAGGGTGGCTTTGAGGCTGGCTACTTTCCTTTCTTTTCTAACCAGGGTCCACCTCTTCAAGCCCCCAGAAAGTGTCCCTGAGAGCACAGATGTCCCTTTGCTTTGCAGTGGGAAGGTTATTCCTCAGGTCTCACCACCAGCTTTCTTGCTGTGGTTTTCAGCTGCCCTTTTCCATTTCAGCCTTGTATGTCTGACTTCCTGTTCCCCTCACCCCAAAGTTATTCTTAACACAGATGGAAACCTGGCCACCACATCTTTTTAGTTTCTGTGCCTTGAACTTGTCAATCTCCCCTTACTTCGTGGGTTTCCCGCCACCACCTTGCTTCTCACAGGCTCTCTATGTGCCTTTCTCTGTAGAGCTCTTACAAAGAGGGGACATGTATAGAGGAAAGAAATCCTGTGGTGTTAGTGATGGCAACAACAGCTGGCTCTTAAGTGCCTGTATGCGCAGTGCTGATCCCCTCCATGTGCATCAGTCATGTAAGAGCTGAGTACGGTAGAGCCACCAGCTTTGAGGTGAGGAAACCAAGGCGAGTGAAGTTTGGAAATTTCCAGGTTCACACAGCTGTAAAAGTTTGTGATAAAGATTGCAGCTCTCATTCTCACACTGGTTAATCATCACAGAGGAGGGAGGAAAGGGGTCATTTGTTGAGATGACCCTCAAATCAAGTGTCACACATTGGTGTGTAGGTGGTCACCTGTGTTACTCCCTGATAGTCTCCACAACATTCCCAAGAGCTTGTCTCTTATTCCCACCTAAAAAAGGAGAAACAGACCCAGCAGCAGCTTGCATACAGTCACATTTTGTCAGAGCCATTTGTATTTGTACCACATACATAGCCCAGGACTTGACTCAGAATGTAATCAAGAAAAGTGCCAGACAACCCCAGATTTTGGAAGGCAAGGCTAGCTTTAAAAGCTAAAATGTCCATCAGGAGATGGGAGGGGGACTGGAGATTTTTGGGCCCAGGCACCCAATCAGTGCTAGGTATCTCAAGCACACACTACCTTTTGGCACACAGGCAGGAACACCAAGCTGGCTGTGCCATCCTGGCCATTCTGGGTTTAAAAGGCTCATAAAATGGAGATGTATTAGCTGAGGCAGGAGGTGGGGAGGCGCAGTCGATCATTATTATTCATTAACTGGAATGTATTTCCAAGATTAGCTGGGCAGCGGCTGCAGACAAGAGTATTCCTAGATGGGAAGGCTGCCATTTAGGAAAGGAAGCCACTACCTAGGTGGCTTGGTTTGGCTGATGGCTGAGGAGGGGTCACTAGTACAGGACAGGGAGGAGACGATGGGGACCAGGAGGGGTGGCCTCTCAGTGGCTGTAGCTGCTTCGCACACATGTGCAAGCTCCACCCCTGGGGGTGGGGCCAAGGCTGAGCTGGGCCAGCATCAGCAGCTCTGTCCTTCCCGGAACCCAGGCTGGGGCAGAGAAGGGCTGGCGAGCCTGGACCCTGCTGTCCCGTGGAGGCACTCTCTGGCCAGGATACCAGACGTGGTCTGAAGCCCTGCAGGGCTGGAGGCTGCACAACCCCTGGGTGGCAAAGGACACCTGTCTATCACAGCCATGTAAGTAGCTATGTTCCTCCCCACCCCAGATCCTGAAGAGGCCACTGCACTGGCCCAAGCCAGTAGGCCCTCCAGAGTGTGCGTGAAATGGCCCACACCTCACTGCGACATCGCATGTGGTAGCTGATCCTTCTTGCTGGGGGAACCCAGGGCTCTCTTGAGGGAAGGCCTGGGAGTACATCTCAGACCAAGTTTAGGGTAACACCAAGTCTTGTGAGGTTTAATAAAGTTGATGGTGCAGGGAGGAAAGGGAACAGAAACGGGGGGGGGCACTGGAAAGTGACCAAAGTAACCAAAGATGTCCTGGGTTGCGGGCAAGGAGGAGACTAAGGAAGAAGGAACTGGCTGAGGGGAGGGGAAAGGGGCTCAGTGAAGCCCCAGGCTAGCTGGGAGCTGCAGGGAGGGAAGCATCTCCCTCTATTTCGGGTGGCCTTGAGGCTGATCCTGTTCTCAGCCCAGGGGAAGTGGAGGAAGAAGGAACCCCTTCCTTATTGACTCCCAATCCTAGCAACTGCAGCTGTTCTCCTGTTGACAGAGGCAGGAACTCCGGCAGGACCAGGACCCCTCCCCTTGCCCCCGCATATGGCCATGTCAGAGAGCAGGAAGCCCAGTGCAGAAAGGGCTAGGGCAGATCAGAAACACAGGGCTGCAGGGAGGCTTGGAGCTTGGGGGGGTCTTCTGGCAGCTGGCACCCCTACCTTCCCTGCCAAGCACCCTACTACCGCCCCTTCCTTCCAGCTCCCAGGAAGGGCCTGTTGCTAGTGCGCAATGGGCGAGTCAAGTTTATGGGCTGGAAGTCCTACCCAGAGGCTGCTCACTGAGCTGTGACACTGAGAGGGGTAGGGTGCAAGGATAGGGCACCCCACTTGTGGCCCAGATTTGGCTCACAGGAGCCTTCGTGCCATGCCAGCTGGGAGACCACACAACACCAGCCAGACCCTATCCTCTCCTTGGCTCAGAGGATGGGCCCGCCTTTCCCTCTAAACAAGAGGCAGGCACAGCTGCCCAGAGGTAAGCAGGGAACACAATGGGAAAAGCTGCCTGCTGGGGACTGTGAAAGGTCCGAAGGCAGCCACTGCTCAGCTCCCATACAGGGTGTCTCTGTTCCCAGACCTGCTTCTCCAAAAGTAACCAAAAATAAGAACTTTTAATTGGCAACTAATGGCATAAGTGTGTGTTGGCACACAGGCTGTGGTCCAGATCCTGAACGATCTGCCACCTCTAATTAATGCACAGCCCATCCTAACTGCCTGTCCTCCATCCAGGCATGCCAGCTGCCACTCCCACGTTCTCTCGTCCCAAGGCCCATGATGACACCCAACAGCACTGGCGAAGTGCCTGGCCCCATTCCCACAGGAGCCCTAGGGCTCTCCCTGGCCCTGGGCAGCCTCATCGTTGCCGCCAACCTTCTCCTGGGCCTGGGCATCGCCTGGGACCGCCGCCTGCGCAGCCCACCTGCTGGCTGCTTCTTCCTGAGCCTGCTGCTGGCTGGGCTGCTCACAGGGCTGGCACTACCCATACTGCCAGGGCTGTGGAGCTGGAAACGCTGGAGCTACTGGTCCTGCCTCCTCCTCTACTTGACCCCCAACTTCTCCTTCCTCTCTCTGCTCGCCAACCTGCTGCTGGTGCACGGGGAACGCTATGTGACAGTGCTGCGGCCACTGCGGCCCCAGGGAAGCACGCGGCTGGCCCTGCTCCTCACCTGGGCGAGCCCCCTGCTCTTTGCCAGCCTGCCTGCACTGGGTTGGAACCACTGGACCCCTGGTGCCAACTGCAGCTCTCGGACTATCTTCCCAGGCCCCTACCTCTACCTCGAAGTCTACGGGCTCTTGCTCCCTGCGGTGGGGGCTGCTGCCCTGCTCTCCATCCGAGTGCTAGTCACTGCCCACCGCCAGCTGCAGGACATCCGCCGGCTCGAGCGGGCAGTGTGCCGTGACGCGCCCTCTGCCCTGGCCCGGACCCTCACCTGGAGGCAGGCCAGGGCCCAGGCTGGGGCCACACTGCTCTTCGGGCTGTGCTGGGGGCCTTATGTGGCCACCTTGCTCCTGTCCATCCAGGCCTATGAGAGGCGCCCACCCCTGGGGCCTGGAACTCTGTTGTCCTTTATCTCACTGGGCTGTGCCAGTGCAGCAGCCGTGCCTGTGGCCATGGGCCTAGGTGACCAGCGCTATACAGCCCCCTGGAGGGCAGCTGCCCAAAGGTGGCTAAGGGTGCTGCGTGGAAGAGCCTCGAGGGACAGTTCTGGCCCCAGCACTGCCTACCACACCAGCAGCCAAAGCAGTGCAGACATGGACCTGACCTAGTGGAGGAGCTGCTGCTGATTCCTAGATCTGTCCATCTCAGGGCCTTTCCCAGGCCCTCACCTCTGGGATCAGACTGCGCCCCTTGTGAACCCCACCCAAGGGGAATAAAACTTCTCTGGGTCTTTAAAGGTTATCTCTTTGTATCTCAGAAAGGAAAATAGGTGGAAGAACCCTAGAGAGAATTTTAAGATGGACCTGTGCAGGGAGAGGGATTCTATCTCCAAACAAGCATGCAAAGGTGTGAACAGACCACCCAGAGAGGAGGGAGGCTCTGAACCTCAGCAGAGCCTCACCCCCACGTGGCCTTCTACTTCCTCTCTGTCCAGTCGCCACAAAATCCACATAGACACTGCCTTTGGGAAGCATATTTTATTTACATTTTTAAAATCTGTAACTAGTCTCTCTTCCTCCTTTCCCTCCCCAGGGACTTGGGAAGGGAAAGAACGGGAACCTCAAAGACCTACTCCCCACATACAAATATTTACCCCATGGCTCACACCAGCAAGTGAAAGAGAAGAGTCACCCTCCCAAGTGCCCTAGGGCTGGGCGCAAGGAAGGGAGGGCCCGAGGGTGGGTCTAAGGAGGAGAAAAGGACAGAGGGGTGAGTGGCTGAGGGGTGGGAAAGTAGTCCGAATCCCCTCCCCTCCTCTTTCCTCTGTACCCTGGGCCTCGACCGGTGGGGAGGACAGGGTTCTCCCTTCATCCCCCTCCACACCAGACACCAAGTCAGAGGCTGCAGCCATTAACGGTCGGGTCTCTGGACACAAAATACTTTCGCTTTGTGGTCACCTGAGGTGGTCACCACAAGAGAGGCATCTCTAGGGACAGAAAGCACATGGTTGAAGGGAGTGAGGAGCCTGACCCAAGCCCACTACCCGGGGGCCTAAGGTGGGCTTCTCCAGCACACCCGCCACCCTCGGTTCCCAGTGCCAGGCTGTGCAACCAGCAAGGCTATCACAGCAGGACAAAGCCCATGGCATGGCAGCTGAGGGGGTCAGAGGAGCAGTCTGCCACCCCATGGCTGATGTGAGACCCACACTCCACTTTCCAAATACACAAGATCCCAGCCCTGCCCATTTCACTTACTTGCTGAGGGCAAAGTCCAAGATCTCGGCAGTATGGCCCCGATAGTCAGTGAGCAGGCGGCCAGTCCGGGCGTCCCAGAGGCGCACGATGCCATCCAGGCTGCAGGTGTAAACCACGGCGGTGCCGGCCTCCCATAGCAGCTGCACAATGCCCGACTGCCCAGGTATGACAAACAGCACAGATCAGGGGTGGGAGAGGACAGACATCTGCTCCCAGCTTTCACGGAGGACCAAGCAGGAACAGGTCTGAGGCAGATAGTTCCGGAGGCCTGGACTTCCTACAGCCCCGAGCACGGCCCCTACCTGGTGCTGACACTGGTGCCTGAGGGTCTGTGTGGACAGGTCATAGATGGCCAAGGTTCCATCCAGGTAGCCAACAGCCGCCAGAGGCATCCTGAGCAGCAGGGAGCACCAGGACAGCTCCTGAGACTCTGGACATGCGTACCCACCCTCTTCTCGTCTCCCAGTCCAGGGCCTCCCACAAGCCTCCCTCTCCCAGGCCCTCTAGTCTCCAGGCCCAGGCCCGCTCACACTCACACACTGCAAAAGCCTAAGGACTCCACTGAGTTGGACTCACTCTCCTCCCCTTCTCCCAGGCTGGGCTGGGAGGCCACAGTCTCTGGTCTAAAAACACCCACCACCTGTCAGCAAAAGGAAACAGTGAGATGAAGCCGACTTTCAGTGCCCCAGCAGAGAGGAACATAGCAGGAATGAAAAAGACAGGGCAGAAGACTCATGCCCCCCATGGCCTCCAGGTCCACTTACCTTGCCAGTGGTGGCACTGACCAGCTTGGCCTGGCAGTCCACAGAGCCAGTAAGGATCAGGCTTCCATCCTGGTTGGTAGCAACACAGGTCAGAGGGCCTTGGTGACCCTCAGTTCCTGGGATGGAGCAGAAGAATATGTCAGACAATGAGTCCTGCTCCTGGCTCTCAGACATATCCCACAAATTCCAGCCTCTGATACCTTTCAGTACATGGATGGGGTTTCCTTGCTTCAGGTCCCAAATCCTGATGGTGCCATCTTCATAGCCTACCACAGCTCTCTTCCCTAAAGGGTCAGAGGTAGGAGTGAAGAGAAGACAAAAAGCAAATCAGACCCCAAGCAAGGGCATTGGAGTAGGGGAAGAAAAGGAGTAAGGTTAGACACTGCCCAAGGAACCATAGGGAAACCCAGTTTACAGCTGCTGGCTCTGAGCCCCAAAGCAGGCTGAGTCTGTCAGTCAGGCCCCAGGAGCAGCTCAGGGAGGTGTGTAACCGTGGTCTACCTCTACACCGAGAAGGAACACTCAACAACTGCTCTCACCATCAGGGAGGACACGGCCACAGGTGGCTGGGCAGTTGGGGCCCTGGAACGTCTTGCAGTCACCATTTGGGATCTTCCACATCCAGGTGTTGCCATCTGCTGTGCCCGCCAGAAGGACAGGTGCACGAGGGTGCCACTCCATCCACTGGGCAGAGGAAGGATAGGAAGGGAGGCTGTCACCTGTCCCACCAGGCAGCCTCTCCATAAACCCTCCTAAGGTTCCCCTATCTCTGGGGTCAGCAGGAACATTCCAGCAGACACTGTGTACATTGGGGTACACTGGTGCAGTAGAAGTGGGACTGGGCCCCTAAAGCTCTCATCCCTCCCCAAGGTCCCGCAGAGTTGAATTCCACTCTGAGAACCTCACCTCCAGGTCTCCTGCTTCAAAGGACCAGATCTCCTCCTTGGTGTCCACCTGCCACACTTTCAAGAGACCACTCATGTCCCCCGTGGCCACCAAGGTGGAATCATGGCTGAAACCAGCACAAGTTACAGAGTCTTTATGGCCTGTGAAGAGAAGTGGACAGAGAAAAAAACAATAAGATACCTTGGGGATATATGACCCACCCTAGGTACCTGAGCCCCTAGAAGGTCCCAATGGTGACTGTAAGACCTTTCACCTAGAAAAAAAGAGTGTGTCCCACCAAATTCCCTGCAGCTCCAGGATCGAACAAGAGCTACACACCTTCCCAAGAGAGCCTGCCAGTCCCCGCTCAAGCAAGCTCAGCCTCCATCCATTCTGTCCCCCACATACCTCTGCCTGAAAGCCTTCCCTCTGCCCACTTATCCCTCCACCAGTGTCAGCACCTCTCAGCTCTTTCCTAGATTCCCTTAGCTAATGTGCCCACCACTGTGACTAAACAAACTATGTTACTACTCTTTGTGTTCCAAGGGCCCATGCCAGAGCTGGCACTAAACAGAAGTCAAAAGGGTACTCAACCACTTCAGGGTACCACCTACAATCTCCAAAGCTACACAAAACCTCACCCCAGGCCTCACTCACCCGCACACTCGAAGAGCAGCTCCCCATCACTGAGCCTCCATACAAAGGCTTTGTCATCTTCACCCCCTGTTACTGCCAAGGTATTGGTCTTGGGGTCCAGGCTCACACAAAACACAGATGCTGTCCCAAAATATAGAATATTACAAGGATGAGGGGAAGGGGCACCCACCAGAGTTCTGTCCTTGCAGGACCTTCAGGAAGCCCACCCTTCTGATCCACAGGACGTGGGCACTTGTGCAGGACTTACAGTTGTCACTATGGGATACCACCAGGGTGGACCCACAGAGCAAGGACAGCATGTGTTACTGGCTTCTTACTCAGAGCTCCTGGTGAGATTATGTAAAAGATACTCAAAATATATACGTAAGTACTATTGTTTGGTTTTGTGTTTGTAGATTGAACCCAGGGCCTTCACAGTGAGCTATATCCCAGCCTATTTTTAAATTTTATCTTGAGACAAGATCTCAAGTTGCCCAGACTAGACTCAAACTTTCAAACCTCCTGCCTCAGCCTGGCCCTGACAAGCATGTATCACCATGCCTGGCCAAAAAACCCCAACTTTTTAAAAAAGAACTATAAATCACCTCTAATTTCCCTTCAGACTTTCACTTTCATCGAAGATAATTTTTTTAGAAGAAAACCAAGACCGAGAATGGTTTATAAAGGTGGTAAAGTGAAAAGCAGCAGAGGTGGAATTTGAACTGAGTCTCAACTGACTCCAGTACCATCCAAGTACACTGTGAGCTCTCACCAGCAGCTTTCCCATCTCTCATGAGGTTTGCAAAAGGCAAACGTGCTGTGCACAAAGGCCCATCTGGCCTGAGTTCACCTCAGAGGCCTACCTGAGTGCAATGCAAAGGTGACCTCGCTGTCATCGGGCCCCTCCATACTGCCGACCACCCCTTCCTGGGGTTCCAGAACCCAACCCTCCTCATTGCCCTCTTCCTCTTCTTCCTCTTCCTCAAAGTCCACATCTTCCATCTCCTGGGCCAGATCATCTGCTTTGGAGAAGGTGTTAAAAGGTGGGGAGGCATAAGAGGGCTGGGGAGAACCCTAAGGGGACCAAGGCTGGGAGGGGTCATGTGGCCAGAGGCTGAGGTGGGGTCGGACGAATGGGGCATACCCGGAACGCGAAGGGCAGAATTGGGGGTACGTGAGGGGTGATGGGAGTCGAGATCTGAAGACCTAGGGTTGGCCGGCCACCGAGCGCGAAGGGAGGACCGAGGGCATGATGGGAAGGGGGTGTGTGAGGGGAAGGGCCAGGGGAGGCGTCAGGGAACCCCCACCCCGCCGGGCCCGAGGACTAATGTGGGGGTGGGTTGGGGGCAGGGGAGGGATGTCGGCAGGCGTGACCGTGGGGTGTAGTTGGGAGCGGGCAGACGCAGGGGTCAGAGGCCAGGGGTGAGCGCCTCCTGTCCCATGGCCTGAGCAGCGGCTGTTCTCACCAGGGTCTGGCGGGCCGGAATCCAGTTCTACCACCTCGATAATCTCTTCATCACCATGGAAGCTTAGGGTCTCCAGCGGGGGGGTGTCAGCGGCGGCTCCGCTGTCCGATTCGGACTCCATGCGGCGCAAGCGGCCGATCCACTTCTCTGGGCCCAAACGCCTCCCAGAGTCAGCGCTGCGCGACGACGCGGAACTGGAGCCCCTCCTCCCGGGAGGAAGTAGGCGTAGGCGACTGCCCGGCTGGGAGAGCGATGGCTGCTCGACCAATGGAGACGGGGGTTGTCTGGCTAGCTCACCAATCACAGGGTAGAGTTGGGAGACGGAGCCGGGGCGTGGCGGGGAGAGCCCAAACTCCGCCCGGAATGACTCCGCCCCTAACAGGAGAGAAACAAGCGAGCGTGCGCGCCTCCAGGCTCTCCTGGGAAGGGTAGTTCTCCGGGGTCCAATCCCATAGGCTTCTGGGAGATGTAGTTTCTGGTCTGTGGACAGGACGGGAGGAGCGGGGGAGGCCCCTTACGCAAACTACAATTCCCGACGGGGAACGCGCTGAAGAGGGGCGGGATCTGATCATGGCGGCGGTGGTAGCTGCTACGGCGCTGAAGGGCCGGGGGGCGAGAAATGCCCGCGTCCTCCGGGGTAAGGAGAGGGACCCCTGGGAGGGCACAATTGCTGGAGATCCCTTGTCTGTCACATCTGCTGTAACAGGAAGTCAGAGCTGCCAGTTCTTCTCCACACCTCTCCAGAATCTTTGAGAGTCTGGGGGTGAAAGATGCTCAGTAGAGGTCACCCAGTCCATTTCTCTGCCTTCGGCTTACACCACACTCCTGGGGTCCTGTAGCAAGTGGGAGCCCTAAGACAGTCTTTAGAACCCCGCGCGCCAGGTGTTTCACACTCACCGCAGTGCAGAGGGAAGAGCCCTTGGCTTCTGGAGGCTTGGGTTCTAGCCCTGGGTAATTAGCAGTTTGACCTTGGGCGAAACAGTTCTCCCTCAATGCTTCAGTTTCCTCTTCTATAACAAGAGGGCATGGAGTAAACTCCCTTTAAGCTCCCTTCCTGTGCCAAAATTCTGCAGTTTTAAAAGCTTCCCTGTTTCCTTCATACGTTTTGTGTGAATCCCTCTGCAGTCCTTTCCATCCTGTCGTCAGAAACAAGAACAGTGAAGCTCGCTCTCCTGGAACCAGGGTGATGAGCCCGCAGTGACGTGCCACCTCGATGGCGATTTTCCCATTTCCCTGTGGATTTTCTCTAGCACTTGTTACCCCAAACTGCAGTGGTTCCTCTTCCTTAGATCTCAGCAGCTTCTCCCCAGCTCTTACCGACGACCTACTGACTTTTTCATTCCCAATACTGACCTTCCTTACCTCCATCTACAGGGATCCTCTCAGGAGCCACAGCCAACAAGGCTTCTCAGAACAGGACCCGAGCACTGCAGAGCCACAGCTCTTCAGAGAGCAAGGAAGAACCAGAGCCCCTATCCCCTGAGCTGGAGTACATCCCTAGAAAGAGGGGGCGGAACCCCATGAAAGCTGTGGGACTAGCCTGGTGAGTTTTAACTGCCCTTTTTCCCATCAGTATGGGTACACCCAGGGTTGGGCAGGCAGGACTCTTAAACTTCTCTAAGTTTCATGTGGTGAACTGAATCCAAGGTTATGGCAACAGTATTGCTGGGTTCAAGGAATGAAATCTCAGGAGGGGAAGAGGAGGTCAGAAAATGTGTGAAACTGGGGACACTGGGTTTTCTTTTTGCATATGCTGATCTGGTCTGATTCAAATTTGGGTCCCTGGTCTCATCTTCCCTTTTGGGGGGATCCCCAAGTCCCAGTAATTAATTAATTGAGATGTGAGGTTATATTAGTTCTACAGTAGCTAGAAATTGTTCTGTCTATTGTTATTTGGCTCTGGTTCTGGCCTTAATACATATTATTGATCAATATTAAAAGAAAAGGAGGCAGTACTGTACCATGTACAGTAATGTTTTAGATTTTTTGAGATAAATACTACACCTTCATTTCATAGAGGGACGTGAGACTCAGGTAAAATTCACAGCAGGTCTTCTGATTCTGTGCTCCTTCTGCCACACCAAGGCTACCCCCACTAAGTTACTCAGATTAACAAGAAAAAGCCAGACACAGGTGTGCATGCCTATAATCCCGGCAGTCCAGAGGCTGAGGCAAGAGGATCATGAACTCAAGGCCAGCCCGGGCTACATAGTATGGGCTTATCTCAAAAAGAGAGAGAGGTTAGGGATGTAGCTCAGTAGTAAAACACATGATTAGCATGCTGAAAACTCTGGATGGAATCCCTAGCAAGAAGAATAATGGGGTGGGGTGGAATCTGGAGGGGATATGGAACAATTTAGGTAGACAGACTTGCTCAGACTCAGAAGGAAAGAGATTGGTCTGCCTAGAGAATCATTCCCAGGCTACACTGGGCCTTTCAGACCATGCCTAAGAGTTTGAACATAGCCAGGAAGGGATGGGGAGCTGCTGCTAATGGTCCTTTAGCAGGACCTGTTTTGCCTGGATCCATACCAGTGTGGAGGACTAGTAGGTAAGAAGTGACCCAACATCTGCACAGTTGGCAAAGCTGAAATGACTACCCCTCCAGCTCCTCTGGCTGTAGCCCGGGCCTTGCCCATGCACATCTCCCACCCCTAGGGCCTTCGGCTTCCCCTGTGGTATCCTCCTCTTCATCCTCACCAAGCGGGAAGTGGACAAGGACCGTTTGAAGCAGATGAAGGCTCGGCAGAACATGCGGGCGTCTAACACGGGCGAGTATGAGAGCCAGAGGTTCAGGGCCGCCTCCCAACATGCCCCAGACACGAAAGTTGGGTCAGGGGTGCAGACCTAAGGAGTACTTGAACCTCCCCTAGACTCTGTCTTGACTATGAACTCCTCCGGTTTGGCCAAATCTGGTCCTTGCCTCCGAGACCACCAGAGGGCGCCTGAAGCCCAGGCTGCTGCCAGCTCCTGCCCCTCCCACGTGGAGTGACCAGCCCTAAGCAAATAAACTTGAGTGCTTAAGTGGGAAGGAAACAGAGCTGCGTTTCTGAGTCCCTGGGGAGGGGAGGAGCAGTGGGTGGTGCCGCTTACTCATTCCTGCTTCCTCCTCACAAAAGAGCAGTGTTCCTGGCCGGATATTGGGACAACTGCAGGCCTAAGTTCAACAAGTTTAGGCTGGACCTAGGGACCAAGCACTAAGAGCTACTGGCCAGGAGGGTGGGGTTCCATTCAGCCTTGAAACAAGTCAGAGAGAATCAAAGGCAGAGTTCAGGATCTGGAGGCAAAAACACAGCTGAGTGAGTCCAAATGGCTTGACCTCTCTGGGCCTCAGTTTCCTCATTTGTAAATGATTAGGCTAGTGATTTCTGACATTCTGAACTTCTGGCATGACCCTTCCTCCACTGGTGAAATTATAGGTATACATACAGCTTCCCTCCCCTTCCCCTGAAATAGGGATTGAACCAGATAGGGATTGAGCTACGTTCCCAGCCTTTTAAAAAATTTCAGACAGATCTTTGTAAGTCACCAGGTTGCCCTTCTGGTCTGACATGTAAACCTCTTGCCTAAGCTTCTGAGTCACTAGGACTGAAGGGGCATGCACTACCCCCAGCTGTCCATCAGCTTTATAGGGAAGAGAGTGACCAGCTCTCCTGAACTTCTGTGGAGGGTCCACAACACAAGAGTGGTCAAACACTGTGGCTCTTGTGAGGTCACCTCTGAATCCAGGATTGCAGGTTCCACCTCCCCTTTCCCCCAACCAAGTGTCAGCCCTCAGCATCTTGTTACATCCATTACTGAGAAATGCTACAAATACATGAAGTTACTGTTAGGTTCTTCAGCAGCACAGCAAAGAGATAGGAAAGATAGAAGCCTTTATTAACTCCAGAGACACAGAGAGGACTGAGGGCAGATGGGCCAGATCCTCTGACCTGAGACAAAGAAAACTGAGATTTGTGGACTTTTGTTAGGGGTGGCGTTTGAGGGGCAATTTTAATTACATGTAAGGAGCTGATTGAGGTTTGTCCTGTGTGCACAGGAAAGGTGACAGGAAATTGTATCCAAGGCTGGAGTGGGGATGGAGGAAGTGCTCTCTGGGAAGATAAGCTGTTGTTTTAAGGGCTTCAGCCATGTTAGCTTACCACCATAATAATTCATACTAAGGCCAGAACCTATCAGTTACCTGAGAACAGGTGTATGGGAAGGGCTGAGGCTCTAGCATTTCCATGGCCTTGCAGGGTTCCATCCCCAATAAGGCAAAAAATAAAGTTGTGAGAGGGAAGCGTGAATGCACAGGAAGGAAGTGGATGCTTTGGGCACAGCCAACCAGATACTCCCAGAGCCAACACTTTCTAGGGACGAAAGCCAGAAACACATGGGGTATGAACTTCTAAACATAAAATTTTATTACATTACTAGTTATGTCCCTTTGTGTAATATATTTAGGGTCAAGTACTTAATAGAGAAGTCATAATTACACCTTGGGCTGATGTAGTTTCCACCCACATCCAATACACTGACCCTGTCCCCTCCCCGACTTCAGCGTGAGGCACTTGTATTACAAAGAAGGCAGTAGCTGGCTGGAGAGAGAGGGCTGAAGTTGAAAACTCCTCCAGCCTTGAGTTCAGACCAGACTCAGCATCACCTGTGCAGAGCCCTTCCTGGGCTGCCAGAGGGAAAGGACACACAAGTTTTCTTGGATGTCAGTATTTTTCAGGTCATTTGTGGGACCTCAGGCTTTTTCTCTGCCCCAGCCCCCATCTCAAGCTTGCTCCTTTCCACCACACTCAACGAGCCTCCAAACCACCCCATTTCCCAACCATTGCCCCTCACTTTGCTCAGAGCACCTAAGCAGAGAAAGCAAGAGCTGCTGACCAGCAATCAGAAGCCTCAGGGGAGGCCACAAGCAGCTTTGGAGAATGGGCCAAGCAGCTACGGTGGCCTACTCTGCACCATCCAAGCTTGCAAGAAGCCCAGGGGAGGTGCTCTGCTGGCTCTGTACTTTATGTGCTCATTTTTCCTCCCCCACCCAGAGCCAGATAAACAGCATATACATATGTTACTGAAACAAATGGGGTTAAGCAGGGACCTCTTCTCCTTCCTGGTTAAAAGGTGAAGGAATATAGCATAATGGCCTCTGAGTCCAGGAACTGGGGACAAGCCATCTGGGTTCAGGAGGAAAACGGCTCTAGCTGCCTAACCTAGAAGCCCGTGGCAAACTGGGAAGGGAAGCGCTTCCCCGTTGAAGCCCTTCTGCCATTCACATTCCCTCTGGGCTCCTTTCACATACTATACTGCCAGACTTTGGTGGCACGACATGGGTGGAGGGGAGAATATATGCCTTTAGGCTAATCTCAATCAGGCCCACATGGCAGAAGTTCGCTTCTCCAGTCTGTCAGGTTCCCATACAACCACGAGAGCCCACCTGTCCTCACAACTGAAGGAAAGTGGGCATATTACTTAAGGGAAAAAAAGGGGTGTCAGGTCCAGCCCTCTAGAGAAGGGAGAACCCAGGGTGGGTAGAACAGGAGTGGTCCTCAGTTGCGATCCCCCACCAACTGCAGCACAAAGGTGAAGATATAGACAATGTCTGTGTAGATCTGCAGGGCACCTGTGATGTAGTCCTCGGGGCTGATGGTGTGCTTTCTGTTCCCCAACACCAGCTGTGTGTCGTAAGCCAGGAACTGTAGGGACAAGGAGGCCAAAAATAAGTACCCAAGGGCTCAGTAACCCCAGAGTTGTGTTGGAGCCTGTGTGCCATGCAGTGTGGTTAGGGAACTTGTTAATGAACAATGTAACGCTTGGGCTCCACCCACAGACATCACTGAGGCTGACACATGGTCACCTCTAAAAGGCCTGAACCTTTTAACAGCTAGCAGTGTGAATGAGACAGGAAGTACACAGAAATTCACTGGAACCTATTAACAGGAGAGAAAAGACAGCCTGTGCCCCCTTCTCAAGTCCTAAGCCACCTAAATTCTCCAACCCTCCACTCCCTAGAGCCAGGTAGGGACTTACCAGAGTGAAACAAATGGCCCCAATAGCAGCATAGACCATGTGAAGCCAGTAAATCTGGGAGGAAAGGGTACAGAGAGGATGGATTAGAAACTGAGCAAAGCACATCTGGGGCAAGCCCCTAAAACCCATCTAATCCCTTGGATTTGAGCATCAGAGTAGGTGATCTAGGAAAGCACATCACCTCTCAGGTGCTGATCATATCATGCCTTCCTAGATCCTGGAAGGAATTAAGAATTAAGGAATTAAGATCTACTTGGCAGAGAACGCAGAGGCCATCCTACAGTGGCATACAACACCAGACATGGCATCTCTTGCCAAACCAATTTGCAGAGCTAGACAAGGTACAGAGATGTCCACCATCCTTCTGGAGAAAAAGTGGCAGTCAAGTGGCAGCTCTGGAGGACAGACCCACAGGCACAGTCTGAAGAGCGCCACGGACTTTCCCGGCGTGAGCACTTGAGAATGTGTGCAGCCGGAATGTGAGCTTCTGCAGCCTTCTTAGAAGAGTGGGCTGAAGAAGAGCAGGCAGGAGGCACTACAGTGACCTGGTGAGCCTGAGTTGGGAGGCAGCCGTGCTGCCTCTCCTCCAGGTACCTCTATGGAGGGGCAGGGCCAGCCCACGGTCAGGTGGGTGGTGGCTGAAGTCCGAATCTTTTTTTTTTTTTTTTTTTAGGCAAGGTTCTATGGGGTGTTCAAGGTCTCACTACTAGATCGGATTTGTAGTGATCCGCCTGTTTACAGCCTCCCAAGAGCTGGGATTACAGGCACCCACACCCAGTCTCAGTTGCCAGCTCAGCGTGCCTTGGGGGCAAGGCCAACACCACAGGTCTGGGACTGAACCCCCAACCCCTTCACCCGCATGCAGGCACTTTAATCCGCTGAGCTATTTGGTTCGTCCCACAAGTCCCCATCTTTTTTTTTTTTTTTCCAAGTCCCCGTCTTTCCCCACCAGTACTATCAGTTCCTGTCCTGGGAACCCATGTTTTCCCTCAGCTGCTAGAATCAAAGAGAATCAATTCCAGTGACCCCCAAAGTTCCTTCTACCTAGTCCCATCTTCTCTGACCAGGATCCTCTCCCAGAACTGGTTTTATTTGTCAGACCTATCATCTAGTTCCCATAGGAATTTAGTGACACTGTCCAGGTGTCATGGCCTCCAAGGCCATTTGTCTCTAAAGAGATTAATTATACCCTTCTTCAAAAAGAACACTTCCATGTTGGTAGCTTTGCTAACCAGTCAGGAGATTCCAGGGGTCATGGCCTGCCCACAGGCCTTAAGGTCCACAAGGGGCCCTACTTTACAGGAAGTCTGCATTGAGCACTGGCTTTACTGACCCAACCCATCATGGGTTACTCACATATTTGAAGTACAGCACAATGCTAGTGACAATCCCAGTCACCATCAGCACGATTCCCAGGACACAGAAGAGGCCTGTACATGAGGTAAAGTCCACCTGCCAGCAAGGGAGAAGAAATAACCTGTCACATGACTATCACAACCAGCAGCCCAGCTAGACCAGCCTTGCCCCTCTGCCAGGGAGCCCCAATGCTGCCTCCTATGGGCAGAGGAGTGGCCACAACATGCCCAGGACAAAAGAAGCAGATCCCTGGCTATAGGGCTGTAGGCCCTCCCAGGCCCACTCACGTGCCAAACCCCAAGGATCCTTGAGGAAAGGCCTTGGGAAGGGCCCTCCATGCCCTCACCTTGGTCTGAAAGCAGAAGATGGTGACGGAAATGGACACCACAGCAGTGATGATCATTGCGATGATGACAGCTTTGGTTTGATGCATACTGGAAGGAGGAAGGAGTTAAGACCAACCAGAGGCATAAGCCATGTAAAAATGACTTCAAACTCTGCCTCCAAAAGAAACCCCCCCAGAATCCACCTGTGCAGACAACTGGCAGCCCAGGTACATCCTGTGCTGTAATAACACTTCCTGAAAATGTGACAAATTGTCCTTGAACGTACCTGGAAATGGTGCCTGTCATGAAGCCCATGGCCAGCGTCTAGGGAAGAAGAGAAATGAGAACACTATTCAAGAACAGCAGGGCTGAAGGGTGGTGCAGCAAGAGCACTTGCCCAGCACATGCCTGGCCAGCCCTAAGTCAATTCTCAGCACCACAAACAAAGAAGAGAACAGAAATGGAGAGGAAAGGAAGGGCAGGCTCTTGGGGGGCAAGCATAGTATCCTGCCGCAGCTGAAGACAGATGAGCCTGCGTTGGAAAGAGGCAACCACGAAAGGGACCAAGAGCAGGCAGTAAGGATGTAGTGGGGGGACACCCAGGCACATTGTTCCATAATGGGGTCCCTGCCTTCTCCTAGGACAGACCTTCCACTACCCCTCTACACTTACGAAGATGCTCAGCAGGATGATGTTCCATGGGAACCGGCGTCTGAGGAGACAGAGAAACCCCAATCAGGGTTTTGGGGCAGCTGGAGGTGGTGTCTGGCCCCTGAGCCTGTGGGGGTAGTGCCTTTGGAGAGGGGATGCTGACATGCATGTGGTGCGTGCTATGATGACATGATCAGACTTTTTCAGGGCTCTTGCCCTAAGTACCCATGTGACTATGACTAAGTCCTCCAGGGTCGCTGATCCTCGAATTCTTCCTGTTTGGTTTTCCTTCTACCTGTCCTTGTTTTTTTAACCCTCACACCCCTCTTTTTTATTCCTATTTGTTACATGGCCAAAATGCTACATATCTTGCAGGCTTAATTGATCCTACACACTGTACTTTGTACACACTGGGACAGCAGTCATTGTCATAATCACCACCACCAGTATATTTTTAATTTATGTGCGTGCGTGCGTGCGTGCGTGTGTGTGGTCAGCTCAGCCCACCAGGGGGTAGGGCTGGCTGGCATGTGGTGCTGGGGGATTGAACCGCGGTCCCTGTGCTTTGCTAAGCTAGACCACTGAGCCATCTCACCAGCCCCCACCAGTATATTTTTATTTTATTTTTTTTTTTTTTTTGGCGGAACTGGGGATTGAACTCAGATCCTTGCCAGGCAAGCACTTATCCTACTGAGCCATCTCCCCGGCCTTATTTTTAAAATAAGGTTTTGCTTTGTAGTCCAGCTTGGCCTTGAACAGTTACATAACCCAGGTTGGTCTCAAACACACAATCCTCCTGCCTCAGCTACCACCAGTATTTCTCATTGGTCTCCATTTAACTGCTATAAAGAGTGCTCGCTTCGGCAGCACATATACTAAAACTGCTATAAAGAATCAGTTTTCTTACTCACACACTTGGCCCCTGTCCCCCAGTGCCTCCTCACTCGGTAAGCCTTGGGGACTCACCTGGGTCCCTGGCAGCAGACAAGGGTCAGATAGGTGACAAGGAAGACAACACTGGAGAGAAAGAGACAGAATGTAGTCTGCAGGCCCACAGCTACCCTCAGCCCCTGCCCAGCAAGCCGGGCAGTGCACACCAGACCTGGGGAGGCCCAGAGAGCTGTCTGGCAGCCTGGGCGAGCTCCTCAGTCGGAAGCAAGGACAAGATCACCCCTGCCAGTTTGACAACCCTGGGGTTGAGGCCAGGAAGGGGCCTAATGATCCCGCTGCCCACTCCGTGTGAGCCGTGGCTCTGTCGCCCTCTGGGCATGTGCCACCACACTCCTCTCCTGGGAGACCAGCACTGTCCCCTGGGAAGACCCCTTTCAAAAGGCATTTTGATCCCCACCCTGAGCACAGCTGGTTAAGTGGAACCTGAACCTGCCGGTGCCCCTCCCCGCCCCTCCTCACCACTGCATGGAGACGGCCACACACTCACTAGGACACGTAGTACACAGCTGCATTTCTCCTCACAAATTGGCCAACTGGCTCCCTGTGGAGTAGTGGGGATGAGGGAAGAGTCACCCTGGGCTGATCAGCCTCCCTGCACAGCCCCCCTGCCTGCGACCCAGGCCAAGACTCACACGAAGGTGAAGACAGCAATGATGGCCACTGTGACGAGCAGCTGGGCAGAGATGATGCTGTACACCTGGAACCCAGATGGCGGACAGGGGTCAGCACCCATACGCTGGCTTCTCAGAAGCAGCAACCAGCCCCAGGCCCAAGGAGCCCAGAGCACCACAGGGCCCTTTCCTTGCCCTTCTTTCAGTGGTAGGAGGGGGAGTGTTTTTCATTTTGAGGGCTGTACTCTGAGCCCTCAGAGCTCCTGCCTCTGCACCTGGGCCCAAGGAGCCCTGGGAAGGGCCTGGCTCACATGCTGGGTGCACTTTTTCCTTGGCCCTGTCCATCTGCTTGGCATCCCCCCTCCTGTCCGACATTCACCTCAGTTTACTGCCCCTGCACTACCAGCTAGGAGCCCTGCCCTCACAGCAGTTGAGTTGCGCATTGTGCACCTGTCTGCCCTGAGCAGGGTGCTGTGCAGAGGGGGAAGGGGTGTTAGGCACAATTATACCTATCTCAGCTCCCAGCTGCCTACAGTCCAGCAGGACAGTGGCCCCCGGGTAAGGCAGAGCACTTGGGCAAAGCCCAGGCAGATTTTCCCAGGCTAACTCAACCCTCCCAAAACAAGGTCAAGGGTGAAAGGGATGCAAGGCTGTGCCTGGAGCTACCTCAGCCTGCCCTCCCCATCCCCACAGCCTGAGAGCCCAGGTCATGTCCCCCAGCCTCCCAGCCCTGATCTTACCTTGCGGATGAAGGTATGTCGGACTTTCCGGTCATCCCACTCTCCGGGCCCAAAGCTGTCACTTGCTGCTCTCTCTTCCCCATCATAGCCCTGGCCTGGGCCTAGGGACAGGGCACATAGAACCCACTGAGGACCTGGAACATGTGACCTCTGTTCCAGAGCTTCCCCAAAACCAATCCAAACAAAAGCTTAGGCTGAGCAGTGGCCCATGCCTGTAATCCTAACTCCTCAGGAGGCTGAGGCAGGAGGATTGCAAGTTCAGCACTGGCAATTTAGCAAAACCCTGTCTCAGAAATTAAAAAGGGGGGGCTGGTGAGATGGCTCAGTGGTCTAAAGCACCTACTTAGAACAAACTTAGCAAACCACAGGGACCGCAGTTCAATCCCCCAGCACCACATGCCAGCCCACCCCGCCCCCTGGTGGGCTGAGCTGGACACACACACAAATAAATAAAATTTAAAAAAAAATTAAAAAGGGCTGGTTCTGCAGTTCAGTGGTAGACATGAGGCCCTGGGTTCAATCCTTAGTATAAATTAATTAATGTAAAAAATAAAGGTCCAGCCAAAACACAAATGTTGTACATAACACCAGAACTGCTCTGTCAAGCTGCGGTCCTCTGTGTGCCCTCTTTAGTGACCTAAGCTGACATGGCATGAGGGGACTTGGGTGAGAGCCACTCCATCAGCATGCATCTCTTGAGAGCAGTACACCCAGCCATGCCATCAGGGATGGAAAGGTGATGTCTTGATCAGAAAAGAATCCAGGCAGGAGCAGGGCTGACAGGCAGAGCAGCAGCCCTGGGGATGGAAGGCCAGGGAGGAGGAGGAGGAGGAGGCCAAGATTGCTCAGGGCAGGGCAAGGCCTCAGGACTCAGGAGTGCACAGCCCCCAGGGGATGGAGGGCAAGCGCCACTTGTGTGTAAAGAGCTGCATCAGCACAGGCTGCCGGGCTCTGGGCCTCCAAACACACTGAGGAATGCTGTCTAGAGCCACTGGGAGGGGCTCAGGGGGAGCACGTGCTAGCAGTATCCCTAGCACCTACAGATTGAAAATGGAAAATCTTTCCAAGAGGCTCACTACATGCAAACTGGATGTTTCCAATCTGCTATGATGTTTACCAAAGACAGTTCTAAATGGCCTTGGAATGTTTACAAAAATCAGGCCTTACCTGAAAGAAGAGGACTTATCAGCCCCAAGAACATTAATTTTTAAAAAATAAGCAGAGGCAATTCCTGAGAACACATGGCACCTGGGTGAAGAGGCAAAAGCCTTGCTTGGGAAACAGAAATGGCCCCTTAGGTAACCGCTCACACGTGTTACTTCACCCAACAACCCTCTCGTGTGTGAGCTGTGGTACATGTAAAAGGGTCTACCAAGTGCCTGGGGTTGGGGGGTGACAGGAAGTGAGAGACAGTAGGGAGGTAGGAAGACAGGAGATGGAGAACAAAAGAGATTAAAAGGGGAAGGTGAGGAGAAAGGGAAGGAAAAGAGTTGCATTCACATGCCCAAGTGCTGCTTCCTTCCACCCACCCACCTACCTACCACCACCCTTCCAGACTCACCATAGTTCATGGGCATCGGGTGGATGGGAGGCATAGGCTGTGGGTAGCCAGCAGGGTGACCATAGCCAGGCTGTGGGTAGGCAGGGTAGGCAGGGTACCCACCTGGCAGCACAGAGGGCTGCCCATAGCCACCAGGGGGTGGGGGGCCAGGGTATAGGGGGTTTCGGTCCTCATACGGAGGGGGGGCAGTGGGGTTGGACATGGCGGCTCAAGGACTAAGGGAGAACTGCAGCTGCTGGGACCTGAAAGAGACAAGAAAAGCACTCATAAATGCCTGGCCCAGCTTACTTAGCCCTGCTTTCTTGCTGCCTCAGTGTAGTCAGACTGGAGAACTTCCCTCCCAGTTTCTTTTCTAACTCACTTGGTGCCACCTGCTGCCCCAGGCCCAGCCCATGACCCTACTGCCCTCACACCTGCTCTTCATTCAGGGCCCTCTTCCCCAGCCACAGGGAAGCAGGAGGGCCTCATTAGGCATCCAGAGCCGCCAGGGAGCATCAGTTGTGTGAGACTTGAATAGGACAGCTCAGAGCTCCCCATGCTCATGTCAGAGACCCTCCCAGGGTTGTAGCTTGACAGTAGAACCAGGAAGAAGCAAGACAGCCCTGGCACAGCCTCCTGGTGAGTCACAGTGCCAGCTGGGACCCTCTGGAGGGGTCAACCCAGCCCCCACAGCAGCTGGTTGGAGCTCCAGGCCAGAGCTGGGGCAGAGCCAAGGCTGAGTGTGGGGAGGAGGAAAACAAGTCAGCCTTGGGACTGCGCAGCAGGGAGGAGGTGGTAAACTGATGGCAGGCGGAGTCAGGACCCTCAGACTACACCAGGCGGGCCCAAGACAGGGAGACAGGACTTCTGTTCCCTCAAAGAAGAGCCATGGTGGCTGGTATGCAACTATTTTCACTGGCCTTTTGGGGAGTGCAGAGTGAGCACACAGTCCCGAAGCAACTCGGAAGGGGAGACATAGCTTGGTGATTTCTTCTTTTTCTTTCTTTCTTTCTTTCTTTCTTTCTTTCTTTCTTTCTTTTTTTTTTTTTTTGGTGATTTCTGCCTAGGGACAGTGACTATAGGGAGAAGAGCAAGCCAAGTGGCCCTGCAGGTAGAGGGGACCTCTGGCTCTCCCCAGTTCTGAATGGGGCTTTCAGATGAGAGAATCAAGGCCCAGAACAGTGGCAAATAATTGCCAGTACACTGTGCCTTTATGTCTTCTTTGCCAAATAAATGTCCCCTAGGCCTTCTGTTCCCTTCTGAGGTTACAGAGACAAGAAATGCTGAGGAGCTGAGGTGGCATAGGCTGAGGCAAGAGGATCATTGCTAGTGCAAGACCAGCCTGGGCTACAAAGTGAGCTCAAGGCCAGCTTGAGCTGCATAGTGAGACCCTGTCTAAAAAAGAAACACTAAAGAGGAGGCCTTGCACAGACCTACTCTACACCCTACCAGAGTCAGGATAATCCCTGTCTACAGCCTCATCAGGGCAGACTTGAAGCCCCCATAGGGAGGACGCTGCAGACTCAGTCGGCAGCCATCCTTACAGCCTCTGCTGGAAGGAGAGCCCCGGTTTCTGTTTGTAGGGCACAGGCCAGGGATGGAATAAAGACTGCCTGTGTCTTCTCTCAGGACAACTGCAGTAATTCAGAGGGGAAGGTGGCCTGGATCGAATAGCAGGCCAGGTCTCTGAATGGATTAGTTGAGGAAAGCTGCTCTGTATGTCCCCAGAGTAGAAGGGACAGAAGCAAGGAAGAATGTGTCAAGTCAGAAAGAAGAAAGCCCCACCTGAAACTGAGGACAGAGGGCAAATCTGGCAGCAGAGAGCTGTGTGGAGCCAGCACCAGGAGGGGACAACTGGAGGACCCAGCACCAGGGCGTGCAGGGAACAGCCAGGCAGATGTGGTGAGGAGCTCAAGGATGGTGTTAATCACTGCATTGAGACAATGGGGAAACCCATCCTGAGTAGGTAGAGTGTGGAACCCCTTAATAAGATAAAGGAGAGAAAGAAACAGTGGGAGAGGCTCCTCCCTATGCCTTCCTTCCACCTGCCCCTTCCAAAGCACATTTTGACTCCCCAGAAGGGCATGTCCCATAGAAGGAGGGAAGAGGATCATTGCTAGTGCAAGACCAGCCTGGGCTACAAAGTGAGCTCAAGGCCAGCTTGAGCTGCATAGTGAGACCCTGTCTAAAAAAGAAACACTAAAGAGGAGGCCTTGCACAGGCCTACTCTATGCCCTACCAGAGTCAGGATAATCCCTGTCTACAGCCTCATCGGGGCAGACTTGAAGGGGTGCGGGACAGGTGACCATGGAGTAGGCATGTTTGTAGCCATGGCCATCACCAGGCACCCTCTGACCCACCATGTGGGTGGTAGCACACATGATTGGCTGGACACTGGCTGGAAAGGCCCTTGCTATGATGGAATCACCAAGATATGATGTCACCCTTGCCTAAGCCTTCATCTGTGAGATGAGGCAGGTCAGGCAGGTGATCTCTGAGTTCACTGGCCACCCCGCCAGCTGACTGGGACGCTCTGGAACCCAGGCTGCAAAGGCTTACCTTCTGCCAGCAGAATGCTAACTGCCCACTCCCCCCAGTCACTCGACGTAACCCTTCCCAAACCAAGGGACTGTGGTACCACAGGGCAGAGCATGACTCAGTGAGGAAAGTCCACCTCCGATGGGCCTCCCAAGTCCATTCAGATCAGTGAGCTGCTGACTTACAGTCTGTCTCTCCACCCTGTCATGCTTCTGGTTTCAGAGGACGCAGACAGTAGACCTACCGGCTGGAACATAGCAGGTTCCAGTCCAGCTGATGAGAGCCTCAGCCCCGAGCCTCTCCACACCAGAGACTGCCACTGAGCACTTCACCTTGCTATGCCTCAGTGTCCTTCAGCTGCAAGATGGGCTTAACACTACTAATAGACCTATAATACCAGCACTCAAGAGGCTGAGGCAGGAGGAGTACCATGGGTTCAAGACCAACTTAGGCTACATAATGAGTTCACAGCCAGCCAGTACTACATAGTGGGACTTTGTCTCTAATATAAAATAAGGAACACCAGTGACTAACCCCAGAAAGATGTCATGAAAATGAAAGATGAGCCAGCTGTGTTGGTGCAAGCCTGTATGTAATCCCAGCACTGTGGGAGCAGAGGCAGGAAGAGCGAAAGGTTGAGCCCAGCCTTGGCAACCTAACAGCTTAACAAAACCCAGTCTGAAAAATAAAAATAAAAAAGGGCTGAGGATATAGCGTGGTTTAAAGACAGGGTTCAATCTCTAGTACCAAAATAATAATAATAATAACAACAACAATTCCCAGCATTCTAAGGCAGGAGGATGGCAAGTTTTAGCCCACGTTGGACAAGTTAGTGACTTAGACCCTGTCTAAAATTAAAAAAAAAAAAAAAAAAGCTGTAGTAGTGCACACCTGTGATCTCAGCACTCAGAGGCTGAGGCAGAAAGATCATGAGTTTGAGGCCTGCCTGGGCTACATAGCAAGACCTCATCTCCAAAAGAAAAAGAAAAGAAGGGCCAGGAATGTAGCTCAGTGTGAAGACCCTGGCTTCAATTCCCAATACAGCAAATAATACAGAATAACAAAAGGGAAAGAACTGGGAGCCAGACATGCTCATGCATGCCTGCAATCACAGCCCTCTGGAAGCTGGGGCAAGATCACAAGTTTGATGGGCTGGGGAGATAGCTCAGTAGAATAAGCACTTGCCTGGCAAGCACAAGGTCTGGCGTTCAATCCCTGGTAACACACACACACACACACACACACACACACACACACACGTTTGAATCTAGCCTGGACATGTATCAAAACAAAAAATTTTAAAAGGTAAGGATGTAGCTCAGTGGTAGAGCCTTGGCTAGCATGTGTGAGTCCCTGGGTTCTATCTCCAGTACAACAAAGAAAGAAAAAGAGAAAATGCAACAGAGCACTTAGAATGGTGCCTGACCCCTGATATACAGCCAAATGTTTACTCTTTTCAGTTACTATTTCATGAACTTCTTACACGGTAAATTGGGGTATTATTATTACCACAGTTACAAATGAAGACACCAAGGTTTAGATGAAGTCACTTGGCTAAGGCAGCCTTGCTAGGGTAAGATGAAGTCAAGACTCCGACCCAACACTTGACTCCCGAGCCCCACTTGGAGTCCCTGCGGAGCCCCTCACTTCCACAGCCCCTGTCTAAACTGCTCTTGCCTTCCCCTGAGGGAAGAACTGCTTTTCAGGCAGAACTGCTTCTGCCTGAGACTGTCCCATGACAGGAAGTTTACACAGGACATGGTCACCCAAGCACACAGCCTCTACAGTGGCAGCAGCCCAAGGGTAACACTGACCCAAAAGCAGAGACTGAAAATGGTCAGCGCTGAGGAGACGTTCCCTCAGCTCAGGAGGTGCAGCCACCCTCATCTTTCTGCCCAGACACTGTGCAAGCAGTGACCTGTCCTTGGAACCAAGAGATGATCCTAGCTATCTGCTTCAGAGCCCTGGGGCAACAGAATTAACTCCTGTTGGTCCAGAAATGGGTGCTTCAGCTGTACTCCCATCCCCTAAGCCATGCCAGAGAGAACCCTGTCCATCAGGAGCCTTGGGGACCCAGAGCCCCTGTGGTTGGTACCTTCTACATCTGACCTGCGTGAGGCCCCTGCCACTTCACATTACCTACAGATGATTTGTGGGGCTGGCACCCACCAGGGAGAGGGAAAGGCTGGAGACAGGAACTAGGCTAGGAGGCTGGAGAGAAAAGGCAGACAGAGAGGGACAGTGGGGCTGAAGCCTAGGGTGGGTCCTCTGCATTCATTCTGTGAGCTTAGCTGTTAGAAGGCTTCAGTATCCAGGGGCTCAGTTCCTCCAGAGCCTAAATTTCCTTCAGATACAGGTGACACTGAGCTTCTGCTTAAACACCAGCAATGTGAAGTCTGTTGCCTGTCATGTCCACAGGCAGCTTGAATCCTCAGAACATTCTTCACCCCCCCCACACCACCTACTATCAGCATAGGCATCTCAGCGTGCTCCTGTCTCTAGGGGCTCCATACCTTCACAAGAAGGAGCCAGGTCCTCTCCCTGACCTGGCCGTGGCAGCAGGAAATTGAACTCTGGGCCCAAGCACAAGACTTGCTGGTGGCTGAGGCTTTCACAGGTTGAGTTGGGAAAGCATCTTCCCTCTGGGGCATTCTCCCTGCCTGTAGGGTGACCTAGGTTCTGGCTTTCCCAGGGCATATGAAGGGTTAAGACTCTGGAGTCTGCTGAGGAGGCTGAGCTACTGGGGTTACTGCAAGAGGGTGTGTGTGTGCTGGAAGAAGGGGCAGAAAGGAGCAGCTGACTGGTCCAGGCAGCCTGCCCTCTTCCCTGCCAGGAATGGGTGCCCAGAGCAGAATGGAAAGAATAGCTCAGAGCACGCATCTCAGGAAGCCCCACCCGCAGGCCAGCGGTGAGGCCTGGCTGAGTGTCCAGGTCTCTGTGACCAGTGCCCCACTGCCCCCTGGGAAGCACTCCTACACTGGCACACAGCAGGGCTGGAGCAGGAAATGCACCCTGTCCTGCGGTCACCAGGCCTGATTCAGGACCACAGGGCCTAGAATCCACTGAGATGCCCTTTGGTTGGCCTCGCTTCTATTCTGGGATTAAGAGATGAAGTCAGGGAAGTCCAAAAACTGAAATACTTGAGCTGGAATGGACGTCATCTGATCATCTGACAAACCAGGAAGCCTCAGAGCCGAGAGAGTTCCTAGCCCACCCCACACAAGCTTTCTGGGTCATGGGTTTGGAATGTATCTTCCCAGCCCCTCCTACCATCTCAGAGCTCAGTCACAAGCAAGCACACACCCCTGGGCTTGGAGGAGGAGCCCTGACAAGCCACCCATTTCTGCCAGTTCTTTGAAAATCTCCAGTCACATTGACAACCTATTGTTTCTTTGCCTCAGGGCCAAACCACCCTCCCAGCCCTGTCTCTAGCCGGGCAGCCTCCCAGGTATCCATGGAGACAGAGCAGGCTGCTGTCTCCAGGGGAGCAGGAAAAGACCCAGTACCTTTGTCTCTGGGAGAACTGTGTCATCAGGATTGTAACCTCAGAGACTCCAACCACATCAGTAGTTAGAAAATTCAAAGAGGAAGCCATCAACAGGGCTGAGGCTACATGTGAAACAGAGTCCCTACCCACTTCCTTTGGGTTTCAGCTCTCCTGTCTTCCTGTTCAGCTTCCAGGTTAGAGGGACAGACTCAGAACAGAGAACTACAGGTGGACAGAGATGGGAGGGAAGCACTTAGAGTAATAAGCACCAGCAGTACTTACTAAGCAACTAAGTTGCAAATAAGGTGCCTCTGGTCTCACAAAAGATCTCACTTCGCCAATAAGAAAGCAGAAGTTCAGAGGAAAGCAGATGTAAGACCCCACATCATGCAAACTGCAGAGATGGGTTTGAACCCAGAGCTGATGTCTGACTTTGAAATGCAAAGCCTGTACCTTTAGCCAGGTTGGAGAGAAGCCTTTCCGGCACCAAAGGCCAGGGATAAGGTAGTGAAGATCACAAAGGGCAGGGAGGAGCTGAGCAAGTGTTGTGTTGATACCTCTCCCTTTTCCTGGTGAAAATTAGTCTGATGCCTGAACCCAGAATCAGGAGACAGGGACCTGATGATGCCCATCCTGACTTTGGCACTGACTCCAGAGTCAAAATAGGCTGCCTCTTTGTATCTTGGTTTTTGTATCTTCTCTGAGTAACCTGAACCAAAAGACCACAATCTACCCCAACTCTGCCAGTTCCTGACTCTGGATAAACAGACTGCCAGAACCGAAGGCTTAGAGCAGAATGATACATTCCCAAGAAGTCCACTGGAGGCACTGCTTCGGCGCCCTCATCTGGAGCACATTTGCAGAGGCAGAGGCGGTGGTGTATGCACAGGGTATGAGGATGGCCATAATTCCCTGTCCTCCCAACTGCCCCCATAATGTCCTCTGGATCCCCCAGCCAGATCTACTCCTCCTGAACGCTCACACTCCCCAGAGCCTGCTGAGACACGGTAAGAAGGCAAGTATTCAGTGCTAGATATGGTGGCATATGCCTGGGAGGCTGAGGCAGGAAAATCATAGGTTTTAGCCCTGCCTGGGGAACTGAGTGACTTAGCAAGATCCTGTCTCAAAATACAAAATAGAAGCTGGGCAGCACTGGGGAGGCTGAGGCAGGAGAACTGCCATGAGTTCAAGGTCAGTCTGAACATGAGACTGTCTCAAAAAAAAAAAAAAAAGTGCTAGGGCTATGGGTTTAATGCAACTATCATAAAAGGAAAAAAATTTTAAAAAAATTAAAAAACACACAAGGCTGGAGTTCAGAGGCCTGGGCTCATTGGCCATCTGTGGGAATTGAGGCAGCTGGCCTCCCTGGCCTCCTGTTCCCCTAAGTCAGTCCACACATGGGAGAGGAGCAGACTCACAGGAACTAGAGAGCGAGTGAGGCTCACCTGGCCAGTCATCTCCCTTAGTGGCCCATGGAAACTGGAACAAACCGTCCTGTCTCCTTCTTGGACATTTACAAGACCCAGTGGCATGTTAAGCCCCCGGAAGGTCCTGCCCTGTTCAAGTCAGTTTAGCCCAGCATTCACGCAAACTTCCAGGCACACCTGTCCTGATCTTGTAGAAGCTGATGCAGACCACCTGTTCTGTGTTTTACACACAGAATCAATACTGAGAAAAATCCTAACTCACTTCTTAAAACTACTTGGTCTGCTCCTTAGAACAGTCACAATAAAAACCTGGCATATGCCTTCCAGGAGAATCCACTCCATACCAGCACCCTCTCAGGGTCCTCCCTCGCCCCCACTTCCACATAGCTGCGACTGTAACCTTGACAGGACTGACTGCCATGGCATGGAAGAAATCTCCAGCCAGCCTAAAACCAAGAAACTGGCATCCCCTAACATGGTCCCCATGTCAGGCGAAAAGTATAGATTATATACAGTGAGGACTCATTATTATTCTCTTTCCCAACCAATATACTGAATGGCTAGGTACCAGCCATTATGGTCAGTGGAATTCTGTATTATTTTCCTTTTTTGAGACTGGGTCTCACTCTATAGTTTAGGCTGGGCTTGAACTCACTATGTCGCTCAGGCTGGCCTCCAACTCAGGGTGATCCTCCTGCCTCAGCCTCTTGAATGCTGAGATTACAGGCATGCACCATCACACCCAGTTAAAGAAAGCTGGAATTCTAGATATCATTTCTACTTCAAAATAAGACCCTCGGGCTGGTGAGATGGCTCAGTGGTCTAAAGCACCTACTCAGAACAAGCTTAGCAAAGCACAGGGACCGCAGTTCAATCCCCCAGCACCACATGCCAGCCAGCCCCGCCCCCTGGTGGGCTGAGCTGGCCACACACACACACACAAATAAATAAATAAATAAATAAATAAATAATAAAAAAAGACCCTCACCAGGTATGGTGGTGCATGCCTGTAATCCTAGCATTTAGGAGGCTAAGGCAGGTAGAATACCACACTTGAAGGGGCAGCCTGGGCTGCAGAGTTCAAAGCCAGCCTGAACTACATGGCAAGACTCCGTCTCAAAAAACAAATAGGAAGGACCCAGCTTTAGCCTAGAATACAAGATCTTAGAGTTGGAAGATTCTATCAGAGTCAGCCTTTTCACGGCACTCCCAAGCCAACTGTGCAAAGGGCCCGTGGCCAAGGTTAGCCATGTTGTTTGCAGAACTTCTTGCCAGAGCCTCCTGTGAGCTTCCACCCTCCGGCCCTCCCAGTTTGGCACTCTGAAGACACACAGTAATTGTGTCCCTTCACTGTGACTTTCTGCCTGGAGTTTCTGCTCTTTGTGAAAGGCCCTGGTCAAGAAGTTTTGAGGCTGGAAGTGCTGTGAGGTAGCTGGCTTCTTCCTAAGGCTGCGTTCCCAGAGAGGAGGCTGAGCCCAGGTGGCCATTACCCAGCTTGTGACGTAAGGCTCTCCCAGCACAGACTGTGTAACCCCTCATTACCTCTCTGACGTACCCATTTTTACAAGTGAGGCCCTGAAGTCATGGCACAGGACTACAGGAAGTCAGCGCCTTGGTCCAGTGACCCCACCACATTCTTCTAAGCTATAAACTGATGCTCTGGGAATTTGACTAGAGGCTCAGGGAATACAAGCAGGTGAAGAAGTAGGGCTCCCCCTTTGCCCCAGACAAAGTGGCCCTAGGAAGTACCTAGCTCCCCTGCCACTACTGGCCAGGCCAGAGGCGCCAGCTTTGAAACCAAAGCTCACCAGTGAGATGAATATTTCAGAGCCCCAGAGAACTGGACACCTGGTGGACCTTCCATGACATCTGGCTCACCCCCTTCCTGATCCCTGGCCAGTTCTCCCCACTTAGCCCATGTCCAGGGTGCTCAGGCTGAACTCCAACCCTGTGGATACCACCCAGAGGCCACAGTGGAGGTCAGGGACTGGCTTTCCTTTCCTTTCTGCACTTCCTAGCGCCTTCTCAGTCTCCCCACTTGTTTTCCCTGTTTCCACTCCCCTGTTTTGTTTTTACTGACTTAGAGGTTGGAAGCATGGTACTTCCTGGTAGCTCCTAAAGCCATCCCAGGGGGACAGGGGCTGGAAGCAGGACAGGCAGAGGGCAAAGTTCTGTATGGGACGGGGGACACTCACTGGTTTCCATTCCATATCTAGCCAAGATCCTCCCTCCTGCTACCTCCTGGACACTCATTCACCTGTCTACACCTGGCTGGCGCCAGGGCACGCGGGGCAACCAGGCCAGGCTCCCCTCCCCCACCCTACCAGCTGAGGGCCATGACAGACCCCGTGCCACTCAAAGCTGGCAACTCTGCGACAGACAGGCCACTCGTGACAATAAGCGGGAGACACCCCCAGAAGCTGGGCAGCTCACTGGTGCCAGTAAGACGTTACTTGGTTCCTAGGGCTAACCAGGTCCTACGTCCGCTCCTGAAACGCACGGGGAAAGCAAAACTCCAGTCTCCAGGAAGAGAGGTCTCCATGCTGGTGCTGGCCGTCGGCCTCGCACTCAAGAAAGTTTGGACTCGCTTCCTCAGCCCTGACCCATCATTCCTCACCAGCCCGGGGTCCCTACCGCCCCCCCGCCTATGTCGAAACTTGCCTATGCCGCTCGCGACGGTGTGTCCGAGGCTCTGGCTTCCTCGAGCCCTGTGGGGACCCGACCAGTCCGCTGGGTTGTGCTAGGTCTCTGAGCCCCGCCCTGTAGCGCCAGCCCCTTGGGTGGGGCTGAGGGGCGCCGCCAGGGGGCGCTGGCACGCTGGGATCCGCCCTGCCTCCTGCCCCAGGAGTAAGAAAGCTGGTGGGAACTTCAGATTCTCAGGAAATGATGTTTACTGATGAAAATTTAGAAAGTGCGTAAGTACTGGAAGAAAGTAACTTCACCTTTTCCAGCTCCCAGGAGGAAACGCTTGCTCTGGGTGTTTTTGCCTATATATGTATTTTACTTATTTTTCTGAATGGGCCGTATTATTGAGTAATGCTAAATTTGTAAATTGCTTTTAGCCAGTGCCAGGCAAGCACACTACCAGTGAGCTACATTCCCAGCCCTAATGCTCATGATTTTATTTAGCATTTATAACTACCACCCACAGGCCAGGTTCTTCAAAAGCAAAACACATCTTGAGGGCTCGGCATGTAGCTCAGTGGAAAAGGCTGTGACTAAATTATGTAGGCCCTGGGTTTGATAGGTAGCACAGAAAGAAAGGAAGGAAGGAAAGGAGGATGGGAAGGAGGGAGGTGGGAAAGAGAGAGAGAGAGAGAGA